TTTGGGTCAAGGTTCACGAGCCCTCAAAAACTCAAGTTCAAGTTGTTAGTAGTTGTTGTTTATCACATATATATCAGACTCACTTATAAGTCCCCACCGATGTGAGATTAGAGGCATTACAATTCAGTAATAGCTTCTCAATGCTATAGACACTTGGGAAGATTTCCTCAATTGTTATGGAGGTTGAATATATTCTCAATCTAGGTTCCTCCTTTTGAGTGTTAATCAATTATAACTTTTGAGCTATCCTCCCTCTAACATCCTTGTAACCCAATTTTTGAGCTACATGAGCAACACCAACTAGCTTGCCCAAATTCTTAGCAATAGCTACAATTCCTCCTTAAACTATTAAGACTCCTGTCATTTTATTAAGGATGCCTTTGGCACTTTCCATTGACTTTTTTTCCTTATCCTTCTCTAAGCCAATAAAAATCCAAGTCTCACAACTTTTGGTGTTGGCATGTGGGTTGGTGACCTATTTTTCTTTTCTCAGCCAGATCAATGAAAACCCAATGTGTCGTCAACAGTGGATGTAATAACACTGGTTAACCTTGGCTTGGCATAAGATGCCAAAGCTGAAAAGAAATTTGCTCCATATCTCATTCTAGTCATTTTTGTGGTGGTTGAGGGGGTTTTATTGGTTGTTTTAGAGAGAATGTATTGAGAGACAAAGTTGTGCTGTAGAAGAGATCGTGAGTAAAGGAAATGAAAAAGGTTATAAAAGGATAAATTTGATTCATTTTTGGTTAAGCCCAATATAATGTTATGTATAAGTATAATTTCCTTTATTTAGTTTAATTTCATTGTTGCATTTATCCGAAAAAGAAATGATGTGTGAGAGAAATGAAATGTGGGAGAAAAGATTATAAGATGGGATGTTAGGGTTCATGTTGGGTTTAAGCCCAATAAAATATTTGGTATTATTTCTTTTATTATAATTTCTATTATATCAGTTATTACACAACCTGTAAAAGGAACAACTGAAATAATGTGTTGAGATAAAGGGTTGTGCTCTTGAAGAGATCCGTGGCTAAAGGAAACGAAAAAGATTATAAAAGGATAGGTTTTATTCATTTTTTATTGAGCCCAATATAATGTGTTATATATATAATTTATTTTATTTAATTCAATTTCATTATTGCATTTATCTAAAAAGGAAATGATGTGTGAGGGAAATGAAATGTGGGAGAAAAGGTTATAAGATGGGACGTTAGGCTTAATTTTGGGCCTGAGCCCAATAAAATATTATGTATCATTTTTTTTATTTTAATTTTTATTATATTAGTTATTGCATTATCCGTAAAAGAAACAACTCAATTAACTGCCCCTTGTGCGAATAATCAATCTTTCTATTTACCTTTCTTGAAAGTATTAATCTAGTAAGATTTTATGCTATGTTTTAATAGTGTGTAAAATTGATAAATTATGCTTTTATATTAAACTTATTTGGTTTTTTTTTTTCTTTTTTGGTTTAGTTGTTTGTGTGTTTTCAAACTAACCTGTGCATAATTTAAAAATAATTCTTTCTTAATTAGTCAAAAGTAAATTATTCATGCTAGGATTCGAGAATTCACATGAGGAATTGTTTTTGATTGGCCTCCCAAAGGAATAGAACCTTGCTCAACAAACTGGAAAGCAAAGCCTTCTATAAATTAAGCTACAACCCCTTGAATAAAAAAATGTGGTTGTTGGTACTGACAGTAAGTTTCTATTTGACATTTCACTTTTTTCTTTTAATTATACATTCATTTTTGTTTTATATGGTATATTCATTATTGTCATTTATGATATTGCTACCATGCAAGGGTATTCACTTCCTCTATTAAACTGTCATAATTTAATATTTTTCAACTTCTCTAGGTTATTATTATGCAAGAAAACATATTTTGATTTTTTTGCTAATGTTTAAATTCTAATGTGCTAATTTATTGTAAGACATGCAGAGCAAATAAAATAAGTTTGTCTAGATTGATCACTTTTATGCCTGTTGTCAATGCAAATATTTTCATTTTTATGCTCTTTGTCAATTTCTCGTGCTTGCATTTTAATATAAACTTCATCATAAAGGCATTCATTACTAGATTATTTTGTAAATTTCCGTAGAGCTGATCAGGATCACTCTCATGATTACACTATAAAATGACACATTAAATTAAACGTTTGTCTAATTTATATACTTAAAATACATATTAAAATTTATTAAGATATTTTTAATTAATTTTACATAAAATTTTATACTAAATTCATAATTTTTTATAAATTTTAAAATAAAATAAAATATTATATTTTTATATTATATATTATATTTTATTTAAAATTTATATAAAATTAATTATAAATATTAAGATAAATAAAATTTAACATTACCAACACAAGTTAAAAAACCTATCGGTCAAGAGAAAAGACCTTTAGGCAGTCAATCATACCTCCATCGATTTCGTACAATACGATTAGCCGTACAATACTACTGACCTTTAGAAAGTTTCTATTCGATGATCAATAATTGCTGGTTAAAATCTCATTTTGTCCCGTATTATAATAAAAAAAATCACTTTATTTAAAAAGGTTTTTTTAGCTCCTAAAGTTTATTATGGATGCATTTAGGCTTACTGTAAAATGCTGTATCTGTAAAGTTGTGTTAAATTGTAATTATATTGTATTGTAATTA